TCAGATCTCGGAAGCTAAGGCAGGCAATGGCGTGGCAAACCACATCTGAAAACGTCTTCTTGCTTTAAAAACAAGTCTAGCTCGCCACCTAGTGGTGCATAATGCTAAAAGAGCTAGAACTTCTGTTTATATCCTGCTTTTCTCCCCCCAGTTGGGACTCTGGCTAGGCAAATGCCTTAAACACACAGGAAAACACATCCTCGAAATTTGTGGCGATCCGATATCTAGTGATTCAGTACTTAACAGAAAATGGTGTCTTGCCCAATAACCTATATTATAGGGAAATGATGCACTTTTGAAAATTAATTCAGTAATGCTCAATAGTTTTAGAGATTGTTTGTTAAATGAGTACTGTTCACGAATAAAGACGGTTGATGTACTGTATGTTTAATGAAAATTGATATGAAAAACTTGTTATAGCTGTAATCGGTTAGCACGTTATGTACTGATCACTGATATTGCCCCTTACTGTTATATTACTGTTATATGATTGTAAACTTTATTTGTTAAAGTAAACGGTTTATTAAATTTAAAAAAAAAATAGCAAAAAAACCCCAACAACCCAGAATTGACAGCTGACAACTGCAAATCCAGCCCCTGGAAAAGCAGGATGTGTTGGTGAAGCCAGGGCTATTTTTGGGCAGGAACGCACAGGAACGGAGTTCCGGCTGGCTCCTGAGTTGGCCACACCCAGCAGGAACTCATTAGCATAATAGGCCACACCCAACAGCAGAAACTCATTAGGATTGGCTACAATTAGGGGTGTGTGGCCTAACATGCAAAGAAGTTCCTGCTACAAAAAAAGCCCAGGGTTTTGACGACAAAGTAAACAGAATAAGAAGCAAAAGGTGGGTTTGGTTGGATGAGCACACTTCTGGTAACTTGTGGGGTGTGGCCTAATAGGCTAATGAGCTGTGCTGTCAGGGGTGTGGCTTAATATGCTAATTCTGTTTACCGTATCATATTGTTAGGATCTGAAGGCCAGGCCTCTTCCAATGAATCCTGAACGAGAGTCTCTTGGAACAAACTTCCGGAACTGGTTTTCCCAACCTTTCGGGAGACTGTGGGCACCTTTGGAATTCTGACACAGCATGGTGGGCCTAGTCACAAAATGGCTGCCGCAGGAGGCGGAGCCAGCCACAAAATGGCTGCCGCCAAGTTTACCTTCGGTCACACACTGAAGATCCTTGTGGTGTGGTGCCAGCTGCTGCGAGACCGATGGCTGTTAAAAATCTGCATGGCCGATCAAATCTCCAATGGCCAATCAGAAGCCTTGCTGGGTAAAAGTCCCACTCGGACCCACCAACTTTGTAAAAACACTTGGCGGGTGCCGAGAAAGGTGTCCACAGGAACGACGCTGGGGACCTCTAGTTTAGAGAGTGATCGTTGGAGTCAGCCATTGTCAGTGTCCTTGGGGAAATTTATTCTTTTCTTTTTTTTTTAAACAGTGTAAGTTGAGGTCGGAAGGGCACAAAAGCCACCCCTTACTGTGCTCCAGGTTCTGAAGCAGAGGCAAAGCAATTCCCAGGCCGTTGAGGATCTCTTCCTCCGCCTCTCCCACGCCCTTCCATAGCCACCGGGGCCTGACAGCTGGTGCGGCGGGGCAGAGTGTTACTGTTTGCAAACAACATGCCCTGCCCGTACAGGTTGCCAGCTGAGATGCCGCCTCTGCCCGGAACCCTTGCTGTGTTCTCAGGTGCCAAGCGCCACGGGCAAAGTTGGGCAGGCCGCAGCCTGAGCTCCCAATCGCTCCCATCTGAACCGGAGAGCCGTTCTGCCTTTTGGCTGGCCACCAGTTCATCCTCCAGCTATTGCAGGGAAGGGGGAAAGAGGGAAGCAGAACAGGTCAGGGGTGAGGAACGGGTGCCAAGGGAGCTGATCCCAGAACCGCAAAAACCGGCGGCCGTAGCCACCGTCCCCTGGAGGGGTTTCGCTTGCTGTCTTGCTGGGAAAATTAAAGACGATTCCATCGGCCTGGATTCGTCAGAGAGCTGCGGATGCAGGGACCGTCGCTCTCGACTGCTCCACAGGGAGGGCGTTCCCCGACTGAGGCTGCCATATGGAAGGTTTTACTTCGCACGTACTCAACCCCTAGCTATGCACAGAGATCAGACCTAAACAGTGGGTGGCACAAGAGTTGAGGATGGGGCTGGATCTGTGGCCAACAGTCCCCTCCCCCCGCTTTTCAGAAACACACCAGAGAGCTCACCTCCTAAGCTATCACACCACCAAACTGCACAGATAGCAGCTAGCCGAGAAAGCGCAGCTGAAACCCCAAAAGGAGGTAAATTTAGCCACATCGTAGCAAATGCACTTCCAAGTATCTGACCGAGTCGTGTTCCCCCCCCAGGCAAAGGCAGGAGATCAGACATAAACCCCAAATTGAGGGGGGCTGTTCTATAAAATTCCCCTTGGGGAATTAGGGGCCTGTGATATTTTTCTGCATGTGTTACCCTGCCAAGTTTCATGCACTAGAAAAAAGCAAGAGTCCAGTAGCACCTTAAAGACTAACACAATTTGCAGAAGGGGATGAGCTTTCGTGAGTCACGGCTCCGTTCTTCAGAAGCGTCATGCAGACGGACACACAATAATAACCGCACAATTTGTATGAGCCCGTGTGTGGTGGGCACAATAGTTTTCAGCTTGGGGGTGTGTGTGTCTAAATATTCCTGCATGGAGGTACGCTTAAGCGCAGCTAGCTCGGTCTCGTCAGATCCCAGAAATGAAGTTGGGGCAGCCCAGGTTAGCGCTTGGTTGGTAGACCCCCGAGGAAGTCACTATGTAGAGGCAGGCAATGGCAAACCACCTCTGTTCAGCTCTTGCCTTGAAAACCCTATAGGGGTTGCCATATGTCAGTTGGGACCTGACGACACTTTGCTAGGAAAGACTGGCTGCACAGCCAACAATGTGCCAGGAATCTCCAACCAAGGACCCAACAGTGTGATCTTGGGCACCGCGCCCTCTTGCTTGCTGGCGCCATACCTTCGTTTGCTCTTCAGCGCCACCACAGTGGGTGTCCAGAGGTGGTATTGCAGTTACCAGATCAACAGGGGTCAGGTGACGCAAGAGACCAATAGGGCCCTGCCTGGCCCTCTAAAGCTGATGTCTCCAGCCACAGTCCGAGCAATTTCTAATTTCGATACCGGTGGAGTTACCGCCCGCTGGTTCTTGCCAGCACTGAATTAAACTTCCCAGTCAAAACCAAGGCGAACGACATATTTACTCGTGGTTCATCGACCGCGCCCTGATGCAAAAGGTTAATAAAAGGTATACAGAAATCAAACAAAACGCTACGAAGAAAACTTTACAATATATTACAATTTAAATACATTCAGTTTCGTTCCCAGCGGAGTAACCTCACCCCTCGGTTATCCTTCCCCGCTCTACTCTCAGATCCTATTAGGTTTTGCGGGACAGAATTTCAATCTGAGTGATTTGTTACCTATCAAAAGTGTGCCGGGCTATGAAGGGGGAAGGTAAGCCTCGAATCAGGGCCGATAATGGGGAGCCCTTGTGCCAAACCCATCCATCCCCTATACAAGGTACAGTTTTGCTTTCTGCTTGTTCGCTGAGAGTTACAGAAAGGCTTGGAAAAAAGCCAGTTGCAGTAGTGGGACTTGTTGGGAGGCCTCTCTGAAGAAACTCGAGGCCTTGGCCTGCCGCTTCTCTCTCAGAGTCACTCTCGGACAAGGCTATCGGCTGAACATCACTCGCAAAAAACCCTTTTTCCTCGTCTCCTTTGAACCCGAAATTGGGGGGCACAGATAATCACAAAGTCACTTGGACCAGGGTTCCTGTGGAGAGGAAAGTCGATACGCTTCGCACCTGTCGAGGCGAGCGGTCCAAAATGGGGCCAAGCGAAGGCAGATTCCAAGGCTGTACCCGGTTTCCCCTCGCGCTTTTGTGCGGTCAGACCCGGGTGGGCCCATCTCACAAATACCCTCCCCCCCCCCCCCCGGACACTCACACTCAGGAACACTGAAACATCCCTGAGAATCGACTGGGTCTCCCCCCCCCCACGCGGTTTACTATTCCCTGTGCAGGCTGATGCTTGACCCGGGCCTTGTTTTTTACCGCCAGGACAGCCAGCCTCGTGTATGGAAGTGATTTCCATGTGCCAGTCAGCTTCGGAATCAACCAGACCATTACAGCTTTAGGCTTGGGCCAACTCTTGAGAAGCCCCCGGCTGGGTTTCACACCCCCTTCCTCTTCACACTCCTTTGGATCTGCTCATGTCCTGCTCTCAAGGACGGCTTTTGGGACAGGATTTGGTCAACAGCTCCGTCAACTGACTGGGGCAAAGACAGAGCGCTGAGGTAACCCCTTCGCTCGGTCTGTTGTCAATCTCCACTGCTACGGATGCCGCCATTCGGCATCCCAACGTTGCCGTGAAGCAACAAGCAGGGAAGAGCAGACGGCACCATTCCCGGTGCCGGATTGGACCCCAGGGCCACTGACGGCAGACCCAAATTTGGCCTATCCCATGGCTGTTAGTCATGGCAGTTTAAAAATGGAACCTCCATGTCCAGAGGCATGACACCTCCCAATTGCTAGATGCTGAGGAAGAACAATAGGGGACACTCCCAGTCTATGTCACCCTGCCTGCAGTTTCTGCGGGTGATCGGGCTTGTCCTCTCTCGGAGACAGAGGGCTGGGCCAGGTGACTGTAACAATGCAGAAGTCAAGTTTTTGCATTGCTTGGCACACATCTGGCACTGCCAGGCTCTTGCCGTCTCGCTTCTCAACAGGCCCCCCCCCACCATGCAACATATCTGGGCTTCATCATTCAACCTTCTTTTTGGAAGCGGGAACAGCTCGAAGAGATTCCCTGGCCCTCCATCCTCTCAGTCCTGAGAGGGAAATGGGGTCCAGTTGTTCCAGGCTTCTGTAACTATGCCTTATGAATCAGGTTCCGAAGGCAGAAATGGCCTCCCCCCCCCCCTTGTCCACAGAATCTGCTTCCTCAACTGTCCATCAGTGATCGTTCAACAACCTGACCTGTTGAACTTCGGCCTGGCAGCACGTGACACTCCAGGTCCGCACTGTCTTCAGGGGGCGCTTTCAGAATCACGCTGTCTCCCTCTGAAGTAAAGCTACAGTTGATAACACTGTAGACATGAAGAGAGACCCTGTTATAATAGGCTAGATAGGCCGGTAAGGTGCATTGGGGGGGGCTTAACCCTGAAATCGCTGGGGTGCCCCGAGCTCCGAAGGCCCCGATCCGAAAACCGAGAGGGAAACCCCCCCTTTTAGCAGCTCTGCACATCCTCCTCGCTGGGTTAGAGCGAAGGCTGCGGCAAGGCCGAGGAGGCATTCAGTCGGTTCAGTTTGGCCCTCTCCTCGTTGGAGATGTCTGTCTTTGGGAGTCCGGAAGGGGGGCGCAAGGCCAGGGGCAGCCCCACTTTGCCCACCATCCCGGGCTCCCTCGGCCCCGACTCGGCATCGCCGTGGGTGATGTTGCGGATGAGATGAACAGCATCGGGCTGCAGAATGTTGTTAGTGGCGGGATCCAGAGGTACCGGAGGGGCCTCACGGGATTTGCGGTTGATCCACAACACGAGCAGCGCCAAGACAGGAACCACCAAGACGAGGAGCAGAGCCAGAGGCAGCATGGTGTACAGGAGGATCACGTTGGCGCCCCCTAGAAGAGAGAAGCGCGAGTGTGGGAGGCCAAAGGCCATTTCTCCACCCACCCACCCAAATCCTTTGCAGCCAGATTAGCACAGGCTGCAGAAGCTGCCACATCCTTCCCCTCTCGGACGACCCTCCCAGACGGTAGATTCGGGGCAGACAAAAACAAAATACTTTTTTTACACAGCGAGTGACTGCAATGTGGAATTCACTGCCAGAGGATGTAGTGACAGCCGCAAGGATAGCTTAAAAAGGGGATTGGACAGATTCATGGAAGAGAGGTCTATCAGTCTCTACTAACCTGGCCCCGGTGTTGGACATCCTGACGGTACCTGGGTTTTGGTCTCTGTGTGACACAGAGTGTTGGACTGGATGGGCCATTGGCCTGATCCAACATGGCTTATCTTATGTTATGGTGACTAAGGGGAGACTCCACGTTCAGAAGCAGTCAGTCTCTGAATCGCAGTGCCAGGATGTGACATCAGAGGAATGCCTTGACCTCTATGCCCTGTTGTTGGCCCTCCAGAGGAACTGGTTGGCCACTGTGTGGGACAGGATGCTGGACTAGATGGACCACTGGTCTGATTGCAGGGCTCTTCTGGGGTTCTTATGAAGGCCTCGGCCTCTCTGCCCTGTTGTTGGCCGTCCAGAGGAACTGGTTGGCCACTGTGTGGGACAGGATAATGGACTAGGTGGGACCACTGGTCTGATCCAGCAGGGCTCTTCTGAGGTTGTTACGAAGGCCTTGGCCTCTCAGCTCTGTTGTTGGCCATCCAGAGGAACTGGTTGGCCACTGTGTGAGAGAGGATGCTGGACTAGATGGACCACTGGTCTGATTCAGCAGGGTTCTTCTGGTGTTCTTATGAAGGCCTCGGCCTCTCTGCTCTGTTGTTGGCCCTCCAGAGGAACTAGTTGGCCATTGTGTGAGAGAGGATGCTGGACTAGATGCACCCTCACTGGTCTGATCCAGCAGGGCTCTTCTGATGTTCTTATGAAGGCCTCGGCCTCTCCGCCTATTGTTGGCCCTCCAGAGGAACTGGTTGGCCACTGTGTGAGACAGGATGCTGGACTAGGTGGGACCACTGGTCTGATCCAGCAGGGCTCTTCTGATGTTCTTATGAAGGCCTCGGCCTCTCCGCCCTGTTGTTGGCCCTCCAGAGGAACTGGTTGGCCATTGTGTGAGAGAGGATGCTGGACTAGATGCGCCCTCACTGGTCCGATCCAGCAGGGCTCTTCTGAAGTTCTTAGGAAGGCCTCGGCCTCTCCGCCCTGTTGTCGGCCCTCCAGAGGAACTGTGGTTGGCCACTGTGTGAGACATGATGCTGGACTAGATGGACCACTGGTCTGATCCAGCAGGGCTTTTCTTTGTGTGTGTGTGTGTGTATGCCTGGAAATCATGGCCAACGTTTGGCAACCCCTAGTGGGGCTTGGACGTTTCAGAGAGGTGGCTTGCTATTGCCTGCCTCTGTGTCCCAGGCCTGGTCTTCCTTGGAGGTCTCCGTTCCAAGTACATGCCAGCGGGGCTTTTCTAATGTTTTCTCCCTCTGCCCTTTAAAAGTCCGGAAGAGAAGTCACACCAGTGTCACATTCCCCTCTAATCCCCCAATGAGTATTGACTTATGAAAATGGAGACACATCAAACAGAACTGTAATAGTGAAGAAGAACTGATTGACAAAACAGTTTTTTTTGGGGGGGGGCACTGGCATTTCCCCATTCCGGAATGGTAGAAATGGGTTTGGTTTTTTTTTTTACAAACCCTAAAACCGATACTTCACAGACAGCTTCAGGCCTCGTTGAGAGAAGCGAGTCCCCCTTTGGGATACCTTTAGGGTAGAGTGACTCGCTCTGTGGCTTGTGGAGAGCCACGGTCACCATTGACTTCAACCAAGAGAGCCACATTCGCAATTACCATCAACCACAAGAGCCACGTTTACCTCCGTCCCTAGCAGGAGGCCTGCGTCTTCAGGGAGCCTGGCACCGCTCCTGATCCGTGGCAGCGGCTGTATCAAGGTTGGCACCCGCATTTTTCTTTTCCTTTCCTATCCCTACACCTATATTGTACTCATTCCCATCCTCTAGAAATCCCAGTTCAAAGGTGTTATATCTAGGTGTATTTAAGATTAGAGTCTGGTATCTGTAAATGTTGTGGAAAAAAATGAAATTTATTGTTGATTGTTTTTAGTAATATGAGAATTAACTTGTTATGGAGTATTCAGATTATTATTTTTCATTATATATATTATTTTTGAAATGGTATCCTCGTTGGGAGATCTTTAAAGTGTCTCATGATGAGAGTGATAGATAGAAATTAAGATGTGGCAAATAAGAGGTGTATTCCAGCTGATTGTGTGTGTTAAAAAATGGAAGGAAATGACTAAAGGTGATTTTGATATATGGACAAGAATAAGGAATGATGGAAGGAAAAAAGACATACAAATGGATAAATTTATTGATCAAAATAAATGAGGAGGACTGTGAGTGAGGCCATGTGAAAGGTTTGGTTAACATAAGAATGGGAAGAAGTTAAAGTAAGAGTCTGTTTAACCAAATTGTCAATGTGGTGTATTGTGAAGAATTTCTGTGGTGATTTATGTATGTGTGTCCATTAAGCATAAAAGCCAATAAATATATATTAAAAAAAAAAAAGGTTGGCACCCCGCAACCAATCACAAGTGCGCCTTGCAAAGAACCCTTGCCTACTTTCGTGAAACCTGAGGCGTGCGCCACATTGGGGGATGGTGGTCAGAAGGGCCACACGTGGCTCGACAAAGAGTAGCCCCCGAGTTTAGGAGTTTGAGCCCAGAGACCTCTCATTTCCTAACCACCGCATATGAGGAGAAGGGAGCGCAAGATTAGATCTAACGGGTGGGAATGACAAGGGAGTTGATACCGGCTAAATATCCGGAGAAACTTCCTAACTGCGAGAGCGGCTGAGCAGTGGGACGGACTGCCTCGGGAGGGGGTGGATGCTCCTTCGCTGGATGTTTTCAAGCGGGGGCCAGATGGTCACCGTTCAGGGACGTTGTAGGGCTCTCTTTCGGCTGCGCTCCTGCAGAGTGCAGGGGGTTGGACGAGATGACCTGCAAGGCCCCTTCCAACTCTAACATTCTATGATTCTATGATTCGAAGTCATCTGGAAATAGTTTTATTCCTCCGGGGCTATCGGCCACGGCAACCATTGAAGACGAGAGCCGACAATGGAAACCGGGGACGTCGGAAGGGCAGCAAGGTCTGGTTCACCGCCAGGAAAACAAAAGAAATCAACCCTGGAAGCTGTTGCGGCAGCCATCTCGGATGCGACCTCCGGACTGAGTTATCTTGGGCCCAGTTATCCATGCCAACAGATGGCACCTACCTGGGCACACCCCTTCCGGGCACGGCTCCTGGATTTTCTGGCACTGGGTGCCCTCCGGGCAGGTACAAACGTAGTTGTCTTTTCCGCTCAGGCATGAAGACCCTTCTGGGCACGGGTTTGGGGAGCAGAGATCCCCGGAGACCCGCTGGATGGAAAAGGAGAGACACAAGGGGAGGTCAGAGTAGCGGAGAGCACTTAAGCCAGGCAGGGCAGACCTATTCTCCATTGTCAGAGGATGTCGTCATAAGCGGAAGGGCAAGATTGTGTAACGCGGGAGAGTTTTGGCCCTCAGTTCTACTCTTTTTCCCAAAGGCAGGGCTGTGTGTGTGTTAAAAACTCTCTTCAGCCTGTAAAAAAAATTGTGCAATGCAAGGCCCCTGGCATACTCGAGAGAGAGAGAGAGCAATTTGCTCAGTTTCTACTGGGAGGGGGAGAAGGCACGGTGTTGAAGAGCCACCCGGTGACTGCAGGCGACTGAACTCAGTCACACATACGCACGGAGCCGCCCAGATTTCGGCAAGCGTCCCCACTGCATTTTCAAGCTCTTGGGGATTAGAAACTTGGATGCAAGGATAAGCAAACAGCCAGAGAGAAAAGAGGGAAAGATTCTTGCCTAGCACCCCCTTGGACTCGCAGAGAATTCGGAAAGCCCGGCCAAGAGGCTGTGATCCACCCGACCCACTTCCAGTCGGAGAGTTACCTCGCAGCGGTGGCCACTCCGGCCTAGTGGGCAGCTGCATCGGAAAGTCGTGTTTCCCCTCTCCTGGCATTGTCCTCCGTGCAGGCAGGGGGCACTGGCACATGCCCCCAGCTCCGTCTCGCACTCCGCACCTGTGTACCCTGCCAGGCAGGCGCATGCGTGCCTGCCATTTCTCACCTGGTGGGAAAGACGGAGATGAGAACAGAGACTTCCCAGAGTTTTTAAAAAGGTCCCGACATACCTACGGGACCGCCTTTCCCCGTACATACCCCAGAGAGCACTACAGTCTGGGGCTCAAAGTCGTTTGACCCTCCCTGGCCCGAGGGAGGCCAGGCTAGCTGCAACTAGGGCCGGGGCCTTTTTGGTGGCGGCCCCTACCTGGTGGAATGAGCTCCTGGAGGAGATCAGGGTTCTGCGGGACCTCTCACAGTTCCACAGGGCCTGCAAGACGGAGCTCTTCCGCCAGGCATACAATTAGGGGCCGCCGCGGCCATAGCGCACGGCCCGCAATGTCGTCATCGAGCCGCTGCCATAAGACTTGACGAGCAGAATAACATCTAAGCACTTCTATGCTGGAAGTTGGAAATCCATCTGAAAGCATTCCATCTGAGCGAATTTTTAACCGCTGCTAGCACTTTGTAATGTATCACTTTGTAATGTATTATTTTAACTGTGATGTTTTAATTTCGTATTATATATGTTGTTATTTTGTATTTATGATATTGGACGCTGCCCTGAGCCTGCTTTGTGGGGAGGGCGGGGTATAAATTTGACAATAAATAAATAAATAAATGTTTTGGAAGGATAGCTTAGACAGACGAGGCTAAGACACAGCTCAATCTACTGAGGCAGAGTAGGGATCAGATCTCCTGGTTCCCCTGAGGAGCAGCCAACGAAAGTCAGCCAGGTCTGAAAACACCTGGAAGTTTGGGGTGGCACCAGGGCTGAGATAGCGATCTCGGATTCCCGATTCTGTAAACGAGCCAATGTGCAAATCTACCTGGCAGGTACCTCCGTTCCGGCATTCTCTCTGGCACGCGTCCTCTCCTATCCAGGAGGGAAGGGGGAGGGGGGGAAGAGAGAGAGAGAGTTATTCACAAAGTAAGAGGGATTGCTTATCATGGCCCAACTGTGTTGTCAAAGCCCGCAAGGAGAATTCTGTGCAGCTCGGAAGCTTGCAAATTCAGAGAGATTAACTACTTGGGCTGTTCTAAGCCGGCACTGACTACCCGAGCCTGGACTCACAGCTCCCCGAGTCTCTAATTTTTTCCAGTCCCGCCGAGTCAGACCCTTTAACTAGAGAAGCTGTTGATTAAACTGTGGATGTTCAAGAGAGCAAAACCTTCATTGTTTATGTCAACTTCAGGTTTCCCCCTTCCAGACTTTCAGTGCGCCTCAGCCTTAGGCTGAGGGTCTGTGGCTCAGTGGCAAAGCGTCTGCTTGGCATGCAGAAGGTCCCAGGTTCAATCCCCGGCATCTCCAGTTAAAAGGACCAGGCAGTCGTTGTTGTGAAAGACCTCTGCCTGAGACCCTGGAGAGTCGCTGCCAGTCTGAGACGACAATGCTGACTTCGATGGACCGAGGGTCTGATTCAGTAGAAGGCAACTTCATGGTGTTCAACCCTGACATGGTCCCCTTCTTACTGATTTCGCAGTTGGGTCCATTCCAGCCTTCCAGGCAATCACAGAAATAGCTGCCAATGAGGTTTTTACACCCCCGGGCGTGGAGGCAGGGGTTCGCCTGACACTCGTTCACATCTAGAAATCAGAAAAGAAGCAGTGGCTGGTCAGATCAGATTGAAGGTCCAGGCAGAATACTTCCAGGAAGCCAGTGAGAAAGCAAAAAGCCTTCCCTTCAGCGCTCTCCCCAGCATCTTGTGCTTTGAGGTAGCCTACCTCTGAATATGGAGGTTCTATTTAACTCCTAAATGGAGAGGCGGTGTGTGCTTGGACCAATCAGACGCGTTCTGCTGGCCTACTTCGCAGGCTTGTTGTGAGGATGAAACGGGAAAGGGAAAGCCACGTCCACCGTTATTGGCAGGATAAACAGGCCATAGATCGATAATCTCGGTAAATCCGCAATTTACCCTGTTCTCTGACAAGTCCTGTTTATAATGCCGTCTACAATAGCGGCTATCACCCCATCTTCGGGAAATTAAGAATTTTATCTGTTAATTAACGGGGTGCCCAGTGTGAAAAACCAAAATTCTGCCAGAATCTCCCAAGGCAGCATCTAGCTGGCTTGAAAAAGCCCGGATGATCTAAAGCTTGTAGTCACACAGAAAATCTGTACTGAAGAAGAAGAAGAAGAGATTGGATTTATCCCCCGCCCTTCACTACCGAAAGGTGTCTCAGAGCGGCTCACAGACTCCTTTCCCTTCCCCTCCCCACAACAGACACCCTGTGAGGTAGGTGGGGCTGAGAGAGCTCTGACAGAAACTGCTCTTTTTCAAGGACAGCTGTGCCAGAACTATGGCTTGCCCAAGGTCATCCAGCCAGGTGCAAGTGGAGGAGTGGGGAATCAAACCTGGCTCTCCCAGATTAAAGTCCGCGCACTTAACCACTACACCAAACGGGCTAACTGAACACCGAACCCATACATTATCTTAAAACTGTGGGAAGCTAAAAGGGGATGTTTGTCTTCCAGCTCCTCCCCTTCCCAGCACTGGTGTATCTGGAGGTAACAGAATGAGCACAAATAGTCTAACTTCGGAGGCCAGACAGTCCGCCTGAAAGCGCGAAGAAAAGAGGGCAGAGAGCACGAGAGTAGGAAGTGAGAGGAAAAAGCACACCACAGGCGCCTCACCGATTTGACAGGTCTTTCCCGTCCACTGGGGCGAGCAGTGGCACTTGAAGCCCCCCGAGATACTTTGGCAAATCCCACTGTGGCTGCAGGGCTCCGAGAGACAGTCCGTTACCTCTAGGGGGCAACAGAAGACGGGTTGTGCTTAGAACTTGGTTAGCGGCGGCGGGGGCGGGGTGGGGGTCAAAAAGAGGACCTTCAAGAGAGTTCCACGGATGAATTCCTCCGGAATGCATACTCTCCCCAAGTTTCCTCTCTGGTGTCCCTTTTAAAGTCCACCCCCCCAAAAAAGGACTTGGACCACTTCCAAAGACCCGCCCCCCCATCATTTCAGCTTACCTTCCTTTCCACCTAGGGGTGCCAAGTCCAGGAAGGGAAATTCCTGGAGATTTGGGGGCAGAGCCTGAGAAGAGGGGGGTTTGGGGAGCGTAGGAACCCCCAGCAGGGGATAGTGTCCTACAGTCCACCTTCCAATGCGGCCGCTTTCTCCAGGGGAACTAATTCCTCTAATCACTTGTAACTCTGGGAGATCTCCAGGCCCCACCTGGAGACTGGCAACCCTAGGTGGGACCACTGTTCCCTCTAAGCTGAGTTAGTGTGAGCTAGCTCACAATTTTTTAGCCTGTGGCTCACGTATTTTCATTTTAGCTCAGGAAGAATGTGGCTCCAGAGCAAACTAATTTATGCAGCAGCCATATCACTCGCTCACAACTTTAATGCCAGTAGCTCACAAAGTAGAATTTTTGCTCACAAGACTCCACAGCTTAGAGGGAGCATTGGGTGGGACCCTCTGACCATCAATAAAACTTAAGTTTTGGGAGCCGAAGACCTGAAAACTTGGCATTTAAAAACACACACACACACACACACCATGCTTTTTTAAAGGAACTAAAAAATTCCAGCGCTTGAATCCGGGTTTCGCCCCTAGCTTTGAAACCCCCTAAAGGAAGACTCGTGCAACTGTTTTGATTCACAGTTTCCAATTTGGCAAACCGGAGGGTTTGTGCAACTCCCCCCACCCCCAGCGTCACACATTATTCCTCTGCCACCCCCCCAACAGCATTTCCCCATGGAAACAGCTTTCATTCGTCTCCCAAACCGATCAGAGCGCCAACTTCCACACTTCTCTCCCCCCACCCCCCATCCTTGGAGAAGGGAAGAAATGTTATCCCCCCCCCCCGCAAGGTACGCGTGACGGTTCATATTTGTACGCAAACTGGAAAAGAGACACGAAGTCCAGCCGGATCTTGGGTAGGCAAGTTTTCCAACCCGAGGGCTGCATCAGCATCTCAGCCTACTTCGGGGGGCTCCGTATCCGATGCCAATTCTTTCTGTTACGAGCGCTACCGGAAGCCAACATGGACGCCCCCCCAACCAGGCCAAGAGCCTGACATGGCCATTCTTCTGTTCTTAATAGTCCCCTTGAGCTGTTTTATGAGTTTTTTGGGAGCATTAATCCCCTAACGATCAGGGGGACCCAAACCTTTTTGAACTTCTGGGCCCCCATGGCATTTGGATAGAGAGTGGAGAGAGCCACCCCAAAAAATGGCTGCCGCGTGAGACGGAGCCATATGCAATACCTCCAGTGTACCCTCTAAGTGTGAACTAGCTCACAGTTTTTTAGCCTCTGGCTCACACATTTTTGTCTGAGCTCAGGAAGGATGGCTCCAGAGCAAACTAATTTATGCAGTGGTCAAATCGCTCGCTCACAGCTTTAATGCCGAGAGTTCACAAAGCATAATTCTTGCTCACAAGACTCCACAGCTTAGAGGGAGGATTGAATACCTCCACCACCACCACCACCCGTCTGCAGCTGTGGGAAGTCCTTTCATTTGAATGAGTGGAGTCCTGGCCCCACTGCTGGACCTCCTGAGGGCCCCTGGCAGGGGTCATTTCGTAGAAAAAGAGGTGCAGGAGCTCATTAGCATAACTAATTAGCATAACGTATTTGCATATGCCACACCCTCTGACATCACCAAAAGTGTGTCAGAAGGCAACACCCACCGCTCAGGCTCCACTTGCTAGCTATGGGGGGGGGGGGGAGACGTGCAGATCTGTCCTCACAGAGGAGGGAGAGCTTGTACCTGAATAAAACTTGGTCTTAAAGGTGCCACTGGACTCTTTTAGACCGGGGGCTGGGGGGAGCTCTGCAGCTTACCTGGCTGCTTCTTGCTCTGACTGAGGGCTGCTGGGAGCAGGGGGTGGGGCTTGTTGCATGTGCCCGCCCCTTGGGCTCTTTACTGCCGGAGCTCCGCTCCTGTGCGCTCCTGCAGGAAATGACCCCTGGCCCCTGGTATTTTTGGCCACTGTGTGACAAGAGTGTTGGACTGGATGGGCCACTGGCCTGATCCGACACCAGCTTCTCTGGGGTTCTTCTATAACCAGCTCTGCCTTACCCACTTTCTGAAAAGCTTCGTGGGCGCCAAGGGAAGTAACGGTGGGTGCCATGGGGTGTATCAACGGAGGCATGACCTCCAAATCACAAGATGTCCTAGTCCTGCTGTACACAGCGTTTGTCAGGCCGCGTATTGTGTGCTGTTCCGGAGGCCTCATTTCAGAAAGGATGTGGAGAGAATGCAGCGGGTGCAGAGGAGAGTGACGGGGACGACTGGGGGCCTGGAAGCCCTACGAGGAAAGGCTGAGGGCCTTGGGAATGCTCAGTCTGGAGAAAAGGAGGGGGGGGGGGACACACAAGAATCAGTGTTCCCTCTAAGCTGAGTCAATGTGAGCCAGCTCACAGTTTTCTAGCCTCCGGCGCACACATTTCTGTCTCCTCTCAGGAAGGGATGGCTCCAGAGCAAACGAATCCATGCAGCAGCCCAATTGCTCGCTCACAGCTTTGACAAAGTAGAGTCTTTGCTCGCAAGACTCCGCAGCTTAGAGGGAGCACTGGAGAAGACAGCTCTCTTGTCCTATCTGAAGGGCCGTCACTTAGAGGAGGGCAGGGAGCCGTTCCTGTGGGCAGCAGAGGAGAGGACCTGCAATACTGGGTTTAAATTAAGGGCGGGAAGGGACCGGCTGGATATTATTTGCCCCTAGGCAGTCAGGGTTGTGCAACAGGGGAATCGGCTGCCTTGGGTGGTGGTGAGCTTCCCCTCCCGGGCAGTCTTGAAGCAGCGGCTGGACAAACCCTGGTCAGGGATGCTCTAGGCCAGGGGTGGCCAAACTGTGGCCTCTTTCAAACATATTGTGCAGCTCCCAGCAGGGCAGCTCGGGAAGGGGAGCCATACTTTTTCTCCGTCCCTCCCTCCCTCTCTTCCTTCCCCCTCCCTCCCGTCTATTTGCATTCTTCGTTTCTCTCTCTCTCTCTCCTTCCACCTCTTTCATGCTTTCTTTCCACCGCTCTCTTTCTCTCTCTCTCTCTCAGACAAATAAATATCATTACCAAACAAATAAATATCATTGGGCAGATAAATATCATCGTCAATATCCGTTTTTACCCCTTTTCTTTTTGGCAGTCTCCTGTAAAGTTACGAAAAAGCAAATTTGCAAATTTCAAAGTAAAAACGTGTTTCATTTGTTCCTGTCTCGCGGCTCTCAAACATCTGACGTTCATTCTGTGTGGCTCTTAAGCTGAGCAAGTTTGGCCAACCCTGAACTAGGCTGGTCCTGCACTGAACAGGGGGTTGCACTAGATGGCCTGTATGGCCCCTTCCAGCTCTGGGATTCTATGATAACCATGGTGCCCGTGGGCGCCACGTTGGGGAACCCTGTCCTAGCTGAAACCGTCGTCCCTCATGCCAGTGCCTCCAACGGATCTTTACACGGCTTGACGGCCAGCTTCCCCAAGTTGTAATCCAGCCACTTCTGCTCCACACCCACCCTCCCCCTCTCCCCCCCCCCAGCGCCGCTGAGCTGGAAACTTCTTACCATTCTGACAGGACTCTCCGCTCCATCCCAGGGGGCAGACGCACCAGAAGCCCGACGGACCCTGGAGACACGTCCCACCGTTTGAACAGAGGTTGGAAGGGCAGGCGGATTCGGCCACAGGGAGTGGAAGGACAGCTGGACCCAGGAGACACCAGGAGGGAAGCGACAGAAGGGGGAGGAGGTTAAGACGGCCTGGCAAAGGCCCCACCCCACCCACCTCTGTCGGCACCAGAGAGCCTTCCTTTTTACTTCACTGACGCCCTGTCTTCCTCCCCAGTGGGGGCCCAAAGTGGCTGACACCGTCCTCCCATCCACCATTTCACCCTCTCCGCAACAACCCGGCGAGGCAGGCGTGGTCGAGAGCGTGTGACTGGCCCAAGGTCGCCCAGCGAACTTCCAAGGCAGAGCAGGGATTCGAACCTGGGTCTCCCAGGTCTTAGTCAGACACCCTTAACAACTACACTGACCCTAAATCTCCAGGGGTGACCAGCTATGGGGTTAAGAACATAAGAGCAGCCATGTTGGAGTCATGCCAGTGGCCCATCCAGTCCAGCACTCTGTGTCACATGGTGGCCAGAAATACCAGGGGCCATCAGGAGGTTCACCAGAGGGGCCAGAACTCCAGAAGCCCTCCCACTGTTGCCCCCCAAGCACCAGGAATACAGAGCATCACTGCCCCAGACAGAGGGTTCCATGTATAAGAACATAAGAGAAGCCATGTTGGATCAGACCAATGGCCCATCCAGCCCAACACTCTGTGTCACACAGGAGCCAAAACCCAGGGGCCATCGGGAGGTCCACCAGTGGGGCCAGGACACTAGAAGCCCTCCCACTATTGCCCCCCTCCCAGGCACCAAGGAGACGGAGCATCACTGCCCCAGACATAAGAACGCAAGAAAAGCCCTGTTGGGTCAGGCCAATGGCCCGTCCAGTCCAACACTGTGTGTCACACAATGGCCAAAACCCAGGGGCCACCAGGAGGCCCACCGTTGGGGCCAGAACTCCAGAAGCCCTCCCACTATTGCCCCCACCCAAGCACCAAGAAGACGGAGCAACACTGGGCTCTTTCCAAGCCTCTTCCAAGATGACCCTAAGATCGTCTCCTCGGTCCCATTTCAATTATGAAACCTGCATCTGCGTCCGGCATCGGTTAAAGCGGCCTGCCCTTAAAGCCCCAGTCCCCCTCTAACCACTCCACCCTGCTTCCTGCCCAGAGACCTGGCTTCCCTCCACACCTCATCCTCCCCGTGACCCGCTTCCCCTCCCTACAGCACAGCCTGGCCTCATTGCACCTCCCCACATTCCCCCCCCCTCCCCAACCGACCAACGCCTCATTTCCAATCACCCACATCGCACAGCTGAGAAAACAGTTTGGAAGCGCAGGGAGAAAAGAGAGAGAGGAGTTTTTCCCTAGCAAGGACAAAAGTTCACAGATGTGCTGGAGACGGGAGGGGCGGGGGCGGCGGCATCGGAGTAGAACCTGGGCCGTTTCCGATTTCCAAACCCAAATCAGTCCGGTTAAAACCCGCTGGTCTTTTTGGGAGCTGGGGGCCGCTCGAATTTTCAAGCGGCACAAAGCCCTCTCCTCTGGGGAGCCGTTGTTTTCGGGGTCCCCATGGGGATACCACGAAATCCCTTGCCCCTCGTTTTCTTTATTTTGTGTCCTGCTCTTCCCATAAAGATGAGGCTTATGTGGTAGTATTGTCTTCATCTATCCTCCAAAATCACCCTGCGAAGAAGGCTGGGCTGGGTGTCAGTGGCCGGATAAGCTCGCTGTGTTGGGAACGCAGGTTCCGTCTCCCTTGTTCAGGTCTGGCATTCAGTCCCCTGTGCCCCCCTGGCTGTGGAAAAAGCCACTACCTGGCATCTCCTGTAACAGCAGGTGGTGTTCCTGGCGGGACGGAACATGCCGGGTTATGCAGCCTCCGGCCCGTAGCTACAGTGGGGCTTTGTGGGGCACCGCCCCCTTTCTTAAAGGCACAGCCCCACAAGGATTTCTCCTGTAAATGCTTTTTTCCAATCATTTAAAAACATTTTCTTTAAAGGTGTGTGCTCCTTTAAGCAGAGTCGGGTGCTGCAGTTGACTCATTCCCGCATTGAGTGAGGGGGTTGGAGTGGGTGACCTCTAGGATCCTGTCAAACTCTGTGTCAAGAAACTGGCCTCCTTTAAGAGAGTTCTCCTGCTTCCTAAGTGTTCGCTTTCTTGACTGTAGAATTCATCACCCACCCCTGCCGGCTTGTGATCAGGATTGTTGCTTGGGCTGGCAGAAGTGATTAAATTGCAGCAGCTGATAACTGTTCTCTAAAGTGGTTGACAGCTTGCAGTTGTAGAGATCTATCCAGGTAGCGGCTTTCCTATTGGCTAAATGGCTTTTCTTTCTGCACTGAGCACTTCAGCCCCACCAGAAGAAAATTTGCCCCAGTGTTCCCTCTCAGCTGAGTTAGTGTGAGCTAGCTCAGTTTTTTAGCCTCCGGCTCACACATTGTTGTCTTTGCTCAGGAAGGAGGGCTCCGGAGCAAACTAATTTGTGCAGCAGCCAAATCACCTGCTCACAACTTTAATGCCAGGGGCTCACAAAAAAGAATTTCTGCTCACAAGACTCGACAGCTTAGAGGGAGCATTGCTCACAAGCCACAAGATCCTGGCTACGGGCCTGTGCAGCTGGATGGTTCTCTCTCAGGCCAGTGCCTCCCCCCCCTTACCGTTTTCACAGTTCCGGCCACGGAACCCCTCTGGACACAGGCATTCGTATTCGTCCGGCTCCTTGTTGGCGCAAGTGCCCCCGTTTTCGCACGGCCAGTGGGACCCACAATAGTTCAGATCTGGGGAAAGAGAGAAAGCACAATGGACCGCTCGGCTCCGGGTGCCCCCCATGGCTGATTACAAGCCTGGGGGCGGGGCCATGTCTTTGAGAGGTGGGGCCTTCTTTCCAGAATGCTAGACAGTTGTCAGCCCAACCAGGAGACTTGTGATCGTCGGCCGGATGACAACGGGACACCGTGCTACCCCGAACGGCCTCCCACAACTATGCCACAGCCGTCTGTGCGCCCCTCTCCTGTGCTGGGGGGCAAAACCGGAGCCCTTCTTGCTGCAACAGGGGGGGAGGGAAGCATGGGGCATCGGGAGCACAGGAGCACAGGGCAGCAGTCTCCATTTCACAGTCTCTGGGTCAGCTTGCCTACCTGCCACCCAACATCCCTGTCGAGGGAAAGTTTGCCACCCCCGTGCCACCAGGATAGTTCAAGGTATTTTCACCACCTCAAGGCACAGTCTGCTCGTCGACTTCTCCCCACCACTGTCAGGTGGAAACAAAAGCTGACCCCCTCAAGAGAGCTGCTGATGCCCAAAGGGCTTGGCCTGGACCTAGCTGGCAGCACTGCAGGTCCGAGGAACAATGCCCGGGAGTGCAGGTCCGAGGAACAATGCCCAGGAGCAGGGATGTGCATTCGGTTCGTCTGAACCGAATGCACCCCCGAAAATGGTAAATTTCCCCCCACCATAGAGAACAATAGAGGGGATAGGGGCAGCCTGTTTGAGGGCCCATAGAATTGGACCCCCTGGTCCAATTTTCTTGAAACATGGTTGGTATCTTGGGGAGAGCCTCCAGCAGCTAACTTGCGAGTTTGGAGCCTCTCCCTCAAATCCCCTCCCCTCCAGCCCCCAGAATATACCCTATTTTTCGCCATTGACTTAAATGGCCCATAGGATATAATGGGGCTGAAACTGACATTCGGCTGTCCAAAAGACTCCTGAATCAGCTCCTACTGCTGAAATTGACATGCAGGAGTCTTTATGCCAGCCAAAATCGATTCTGGCCGAATTATTATTTTTTTTTGCACACCCCTACCCAGGAGTGAAGGTCTGAGGAACAATGCCCATGCCACCCCTGGGTGCCAAGCCAGCCTTGCTAAACCAAAAGTTTTTTCCCCCAGAGTTTCCCACAGAGCGGGAGCCGTGGGAGTTCTGGATCGGCCAGTTCCTTCGGGGTGCTCAAAGATGCATTCTACCGAGCACGCTCCAATCGGGGGGACGACAATGACAACGACTTACTTTTGTCGCACAAGAGCCCTCCCCAGTTGGTCTCACAGTTGCATTTCCAGGGCTCAGTGCAGCTCCCGTGGACGCAGCCTGGGAAAAGGATACACTCATCGCAGAGCGGGCCTGTCCACCCATAATGGCACCTGGGTGGGGGAGAAAAAGCTCAGTGTGGATGGCGGCGCACTGGTTCGGAGCACGAGCTATGAGCCCCCACCCCGGCCGAAGACTCCCCATTCCAATTTGAGATAAGGAACGGAGACAGTTGGGAACATTTACGCGCTAGGCGCCGTACGTCGAGTTCCAAGTCTTATATGGTGGTGAACAAACCATGTTCCTCAAGAACCGAACTAAATAATGTAAGGCTCCAATGAGGCCGCAGCAGACTGCCGCAGAGGAGGCTGCCTGTTATGTCTCTGTGTGATTCTCCGGTCACGTCTTGCCTCTGTCCTATCAGCCTCTGCTAGGGTTGGGGCATTCTGGCAGGACCGAGTGAACCCCCGCACAGGCTTACAAGAGAATTATTCCAAGGGGAGGTTGCCGGCTGCATCTCTGCACAAGTCACCCATCCGCTCAGCAGGGAGATCAGTAACTCGTGCAGAGGCACGTGGAGGTTAATTCTGTGGAGGGTGCGTAATTCTGTCTCTTCACTGCATTTTTGGAAAGCGACTGAGTTTTAAGGCAGGGCTCTGATCAGATGTTGTCCTCGCAATGACAATGAAACCGAGCCTGACCTAACAATGTCTCTGAACGAGTCAGCGAATGTGGGGGCTCCTTTCCCCTCTGTCGGTCATCCGTGCCCTTTTCACCGAAGCTGGAATTCCTGAGTCCCACCCCTATCCAAGTCTCTCTGACCCCGGCCAGGCGTTTCTCAAAATCACATGGGCAGCTTCATAGCCCCGTTTCCTCCCTCGCCCTCTGTATTGGCCCAGGGATCTGCCGGTGACTTCATTTCCCTGGCCGGGAGCCTAGACCGCCCCTCGACTGGGCCGGTCTTGTTCTCTGCTCCGGGGCACTGCCCCCACAGCTGAGAAAAACCCACGGGCTTTCACGGGTCAGGGTTTGCCCCCAAAGTGGCTTCCGCGTGGAAAAGAAACAACGCCATCCCTGCAATTTAGCGGTGTGTGCGTCCCCCCCCCCCAGTTCCACAGCGGATGCGATAATACTTTGGAAACGTTAAACAACAGTACAGCCTTCAAGCAAAGCTACGACCTTCTTTGGAGGTTCTTAAGCAGAGGCTCGGTGGCCGTCTGACACCCCCCCCCCAAGCCCCTCTTACCTGCATTCGTTGGGCTCCTCGCAAAACCCGTGCGTTTCGTGACAGCCCGGTCGGCAGATCGCTACAAGAAACCATCAGGAGGAACCCGTGTGAGTCCATAACTTCTGGGGTCAAAGTTCAGCAAAGGGGGCTCAGAAGTCCCACTTCCCTAAAGGGCCTTTCCTCCCCCTCTAACCCACTGCTCGGTTGCCAGTCCTGAAGAGGGTAGTCAGAAGAGGCCGGGTCCAGCAGTCCCACACCTAGGACCAAACGGAGGGCTTCTAGGTTCTACTGGGGCAGCGCCAGCTCTGACTTGCGAGGGGTTCTGGCCAAGATGGCGTCAGGCAGGTTGTCCCCTCCGAGGTCCGACAAAATCCTTCTCCGCCCCACACAGAGCAAATGGTGTGTGGGGGGAGTCAGTCCGCTTGGAGTCCGTTCCCGGCTTTAGTGCCAAGCAAGGCCTGGCGCCCTCATCCGGATAGCCCAGGCACACCCGATCTCGTCAGATCTCAGAAGCTAAACAGGGCCCATCCTGGCAAGTATTTGGACAGGAGACCTCCAAGGAATACCAGGGCCAGGACGCAGGGGCAGGCAAATATCAAGCCACCTCTCTGAAATGTCCAAGCCCCACTAGGGGTCGCCAGAAGTCAACCATGACTTCCAGGAATGCAAGCATCTACACACAAAGTACTCACCAAAAAAACAAAGCAAAGGCTGCGGTCACACGGGCAGGAAAATGCGGGGGGGGGGGAGGCGCCGATGTTTACCCCGGGGGCAGATCGGTTGCGCGAGCAGACCTACCGTGGAGGTCCCGTGGAGGTCCTGTGGTAGGGGGGAGGTGCCGATCACTCCACAGTCCTGCGGCGCGGCAAAGAAGCGGGTGCAGGGCAAACGGGGTTGTTGTTTTTTAAAAAAACTGAAGTGTGCGCATGCTCCGTTGGGTGCTTGTGCGCATCCGTGGAGACTTGGGGGGAAAAAACTTTTTGCGAGGGGACATGGGCAGGCGCCGGAACTACCACCGGAAACGCGATCAGACGCCCGCCCTTGCCCCGCAGTTTCCGGAAACTAGTACCTCCGAGGTACTAGTTTTTTACCGCGCATCTTCGGCGGGAAGCCTCGGGTTCGCCACGGGAGCTCTACACTTCCCAGATGTGGCGGTGTGATCGCGCCCGGAAAATCCGCCTATCTTCTGTCTCTGCAGCGTGGCTAATGCTCCATGTGACCGCAGCCAAGGTCTGGCATTTACCAGAAGGGGCTAGAAAGAGGCCCAGGTTCTCCGGTTCCAGGCCCGATTGCAGGAGAGGAGCTGAATATTTTGGCTAAAGAAGCAGGGGGAGACGGACTGCAGAGCTGGAAGCAGGACGCAAGCCCCTCCCCGGAAAGCCTGCGTGGAAAGTCTGATGGTCTGAGGGGAAGGAACGAGCAGCTCTCCTCAGGGCGGCCAACGGAAAATAACTCTCTCCTGTCACATGGGAGGATGGAGCGGAGTCGTTTTCTGTTGCCCCAGAAGGACGGACCAGAACTGTTGGGTATTACAAGTTAAAATTACACTCAGTATATATGGGGTTAAATGTTTGTTTGTGTTGCTCACAGGAAATCACATGTTTCATGTAACCAATGTTAGTTTAGGACTTCAAGCCCGGGAAAATTCTCCCTGATCTAGGAGTTTCATTGGAAGTAAAGTGTCAAGGTGTTTTTGCATTTCATGGCTCCTCTTCCCGTCTTTGTTTGGAGTTCTCAAGGAGAAAGAAAGAGAAGCCATAGCTCTCTTCTAGTCTTGTCTTTGTAGTGTAAAGATGTAGGGAACTTCGCTCTGTTGTTATTTTCATCCCAGTTACCCTTCCCTATGCTAGAATGTAGTAAAAACTTTCTATTTTAAACACACATGGACTCTGGGTCTGAATTATTTTTCTCTGGCACTGCTAAGCTATTTTTTCTCTGCTAAAAACCAATTTTCAAAACCCAACAAGAACCGACACGTTGAAATTAAATCAGAAGAGTTTTCGGCTAAACGTTAGGAAGGACTTCCTGACAGTTAGAGCGGCTCCTCAGTGGAACGGGCTTCCTCGGGCGGTGGCAGGCTCTCCTTCTTGGGAGGTTTTCAAGCAGAGGCTCGATGGCCATCTGGCAGCAATGCTGGTTCTGTGAACTTCAGCAGATCACGAGAAGGGAGGGCAGGAAGGGTCGCCTCAGTGCTTACTTCTCGTGGCCCTTTCTTCCACGCCTAGGGAAATGCCGATCGCCACTTTGGGGTCAGGCAGCCATTTTTCTCCAGGCCAGTTTAGCTGGAAATCCTGGAGGGTTTTTTTTTGTCATCTTCTGGGCATGGAATGGGGGACACTGCGGGTGTGTGTGGAAGGGGAGGTGTATTTGTGAATTTCCTGCCTTGTGCAGGGGGTCGGACTAGATGACCCCGGAGGCCCCTTCCAACTCCATGAATCTATGATCCCTATAATATGTAGCACTTACAGAGCGTTTGTGAAACATCAATGGCTTTAGGGACTTTTGCTACGTTCCCTCCAACAGCCCTGTCTTACTGTCCAGGAGAGGAAACGGCCTGCCGAACAAACCTCTCGGCCCCAAGATTCAAACCGAGGGCTTCCCAATTCATATCCGAGCCCGAGCCGCTACACCGGCTTCAGCTCAGGTGGCGGGTAACAGAGGGCAGTTTGCAGATGTGCCTGGTTCTCCTTCCCAGGTGCAGCCTTCCTTGCTCCGCCCCCCAACGCTCCAGACGTCCCGGGACATACCCTGCGTACACTCGTCTCCCGTCCAGCCGTCCAGACAGACCTTGCCGCCGCCGGAGTCGCAGACGTGGTGCCCAAAGAAATCATCACGGGGCCGGCAGAGGAGGTTGCACACTGGGCCGTAGTAGTGCTCCTGGCAGCGGACTCGCACCCGGTACTCCAGCGAGGTGCCGCGGCCGTGGTGCCACAAGTCCTCCCAGCCCTCGCCTGGGTTCAACATGCCCGAGCGAGTCACCCGCTCCATCAACTGCCCTGCTCCTGCGGACGGAAAAGGCAACAGTCGCGCAGGACGTCCCCGGACAGGGCCCCGATCTCGCTCAAGGGCTTCCAGCGCCCGAACCCTACCAGACATGTTCCGGGAGCACACAGACGCCCGCCTTCCCCCGGCCTGGGCTTTCCCGACAGCTCCGGCAGAGGACAGAAGAGCTCCTTACCTTGGGTGGTGACGTCGGAGACGTTGGCGGCATCCCAGGCTTCCAGAACCAGCGAGTAGGAACGCTAGAGAGGGAGAAAGGAGGCAAAAGGTGAGAGAAGATGGCGCTCAGGCCGACAAGTCCCAGAGGCTGGGGACAGGGACGCAGAAGCAGAAAGGAGACACAGTCTTTTTGGCAGATCATTGAATCATAGAATCGGAAGGGACCTCCAGGGTCATCTAGTCCAACCCCCTGCACAAGGCAGGAAATCCCCCCCCCCACAGTGACTGCTGTTACACACCCAGAAGATGACAAAAAAAACCCCCTCCAGGATCTCCAGCCAAACTGGCCTGGAGAAAAACTGCTGCCTGACCCCAAACTGGCCTGGAGAAAAACTGCTCCCTGTCCCCAAAGTGGCGATCAGCGTTTCCCTGGGCGTGTAAGAAAGGGCCACGAGAACTAAGCACTGAGGCAACCCTTCCTGCCCGCTCTTCTTTTGATCTGCCCAAGATGTGCCGGGGAACAGAAGATGTGGGGTGAGACAGCGACACACACAGACAGGGGGAGAAACAGCCCGATCCGATTTACAGAGGGAAACCGAGGAACCGTCAGATAATACAGTACAATATCAATCTTTCCAAAACTAGTCAACTCTCCACAGTTAAAGAACCCGTCGGGAGCTCCATCCACAGCTGAAATGCTCGTCTGCCACCTGTAAATGTAGCGTTGCCAGCCTCCAGGCGGTGGCTGGAGATCTGGCGACAGAGATCAGGTCTCCTGGAGAAAACGGCAACCTTGGAAGGTGGACTTTTTAAAATTAATAACTTTTCAAGTTTTACACAGTAATAATCAAGAGTTGGACCGTAAGGAAGGCCGAGCGCCGAATAATAGATTCTTTCGAACTATGGTGCTGGAGAAGACTCTTGAGCAGGGGTGTCGAACTCCTTTGTTACGAGGGCCGGATCTGACATAAATGAGACCTCGTTGGGCCGGGCCACGTGCGTCATAAAATGGAATGCCAGGTAGCGGAGATATAAACTTTACAAAGGACACAAACACAAAGGGCTTCCCCCCCCTCTTAAAATAAAAACATGTTCAAAACATCAGCACTCTTGCAATATTTTGTTTATTTAACAGTGTCTGATAACTGACACCTCTTGCTCTGAATTACGGCATCAAAATATCTGTGCTGTTGCAATCTTGAGTATGCTGTTCAGGTGTGTATCTGTCAGCTGCAAACCTACAATGACGCAGCAGCAGCAGAACTGGAAGAAGAAGGAGAAGGCAGTTAGTTCCACTGCGGGCCTGGTAGAAACCCTCCGGGGGCCTGATCCGGCCCCTGGGCAGCATGTTTGACACCAGTGCTCTTGAGAGTCCCTTGGACTGCAAAGAGATCAAATCAGTCAATCCTAAAAGAAATCAACCCTGACTGTTCCCTGGAAGGCCAGATACTGAAGCTGAAGCTCAAATACTTTGGCCACCCAATGAGAAGGGAGCACTCCCTGGAGAAGACCCTGATGCTGGGAAGAGATTGAAGGTCAAAAAAGAAGGGGATGGCAAAGGATGAGATGGTGTGACAGTGTTATTGATGCAACGAACGTGAAATTAAGCAAACTCCGGAGCACGACGGAAGACAGGAGGGCCTGGTGTGAACAGACCACAAGGTTCATCGTGTAAGAAGCAAATCATGGCGATTCGCTTCTTACACTATGAACCTCATGGCGATTCGCTTCTTACACGACGAACCTTGGGGTCTGTTGGAAATTGCTGAAATCAGGTTCCACTTACACAGCCGGCAAACTGAATAAGTCGAAGGAAACGCGTCTTCCGAGTATCTAGAACGGGCGTCTTTGCAGAGGCTGTTTGGAAAATGTCATGACTATGTGGACTCCTCCAGTCAAGTTACGCTGACTACACGGACTATATGTTTTATCTTCAAAGGAGGAAATATCGTATCTTATGCCTTATTATAGTTACAGCATGCATTAACGCTGTTGTTGTGAGACCACCAACTTTATAATTGTTTAATATATTGTTTTGGCAAATCTTTGATGGTGTTTTCTACGAGTGGAATTTGTATATTTGGGACTCCTGTGACACTAGTCTTTTCCCCTTGTTGTTTGGATAGTTCTGTCAGAGCTGTTCTCTCAAGGACAGTTCTGTCAAGAGCTCGCTCAGCGGCTGCATGTGTGACTTTGGGTCAGTCACAAGTTCTCTCAGAGCTGTTCTCTCAAGGGTAGTCCTCAAGAGAGCTCTCTCAGCCCCGCCCACCTCACAGGGTGTCTGTTGTGGGGAGGGGACGGGAAAGGAGATGGTAAGCCCCTCTGAGACTCCTTCTTCTTCTCTATTGCCTGGAGATCAGTTGTAACAGCGTGGGATCTCCAGGCCCCACCTGGAGGCTGGCAACCCGAGTTATGAGCCCCAACTGCAAGATGAGAGAACGGGTTTTCCTGCCCCCAATGCTACCTCCTTCCCAGCAGCCAGGACAAACACCGAGAAGCTCTGGCACCAGTCCTCACAAATCCCTTCTTCCCACACAAAGATCCAAATTTTGGCACCGGAGAAGGACGCCTTCCTCTCCCCCCCACACACACCCCGGAAGCCCAGCCTGCCCCCAGGGAGGAGCGGAGGGATCCTGCAGACGCCCGGCCCTTGCTTTGTTCACGGAAAAATTCAAACCGGGACTGGATTGGGCCTGTCAAGATGGAGCCCGCCAGGGGCTCCGAAGCGAAAGCCGAGCCGAAGAGCCAACCAGAACCCCCAAATACAAACCTAATGAAGGAAGAAGAAGAAGAGGAGATTGGATTTATACCCCACCCTTCACTACCCAAAGCAGTCTCAGAGCGGCTGACAAACTCCTTTTCCCTTCCCCTCCCCACAACAGACACCATGTGAGGTAAAAGAAGAAGAAGAAGAGATTGGATTTATACCCCACCCTTCACTACCCAAAGGTGTCTCAGAGCGGCTGACAAACTCCTTTTCCCTTCCCCTCCCCACAACAGACACCCTGTGAGGTAAAAGAAGAAGAAGAAGAGATTGGATTTATACCCCGCCCTTCACTACCCAAAGGTGTCTCAGAGCGGCTTACAAACTCCTTTCCCTTCCCCTCCCCACAACAGACACCCTGTGAGGTAAAAGAAGAAGAAGAAGAGATTGGATTTATACCCCACCCTTCACTACCCAAAGGAGTCTCAGAGCGGCTTACAAACTCCTTTTCCCTTCCCCTTCCCACGACAGACACCCTGGGAGGGAGGTGGGGCTGAGAGAGCTCTGACAGAAACGGCTCCTTTTCAAGAACAGCTCTTGTCAGAACCAGTGTTCCCTCTAAGCTTAGTGTGAGCTAGCTCACCATTTCTTAGCCCTATAATTTTTATAACATACAGACATACATGCATATGAAGATATATATATTATATAAGGAAGGCCGAGCGCCAAAGAATAGATTCTTTTGAACTATGGTGCTGGAGAAGACTCTTGAGAGTCCCTTGGACTGCAAGAAGATCCAATCAGTCCATCCTAAAAGAAATCAACCCTGACTGTTCCCTGGAAGGCCAGATAATGAAACTGAAGCTCAAATACTTTGGCCACCCAATGAGAAGGGAGCACTCACTGGAGAAGAAGACCCTGATGCTGGGAAGGATTGAAGGTCAAAGAAGACGGGGACGGCAAAGGATGAGATGGTTAGACAGTGTCATCGATGCAACGAACATGAAGTTGAGCAAACTTCAGAGGACGGCAGAAGACAGGAGGGCCTGGCGTGATCTGCTCCATGGGGTCGCGAAGAGTCGGATTCGACTCTGCGACTGAACAACAACAACTTGCCACAGACTGTCTGAGATCTTGTGTAGCGTGGCTTATGCAGAAATCCTCTCACACACCAAACAAACCAAGAGGACTTCCCCGGCTCCAAATTGATGACCTGGTCCCTGGAACGACAGGCTAGACTTCAGACCCGTATTGGTCTTGGCCCAGACCTGGACGGCTGGCCCGATCTCGTCAGATCTCGGAAGCTTTGCAGGGTCAGAGGTATCTGGATGGGAGACCACAAAGGAAGTCCAGGGTCGCAGCAGAGATATATGGCGGAAGACCATTGTTAATCCGAGATAGTGACCACAAGCCACCTCTCTCTCTGTGGCTGATTCTGCATTGACTTTCCCTCCGCTGTTTTACCAAACCCACCTTGGAACAGAAATTCCCCTCTGCCTTGCAGGCCGCTTCCGCTTCCTTCAATCGTCAGATTTTATGGTAACCTCCAACGCCATGCCGATTTCGCTGCTTTCGATCATCGGGTTTTATGGTAGCCTCCACACGCCATGCCACTTTTGCTTTCTTTGACCATCGGATTCTATGGTAGCCTCCACACGCCATGCCACTTTTGCTTTCTTTGACCATCGGATTCTATGGTAGCCTCCACACGCCATGCTGCTTTTGCTTCCTTTGACAGTCGGATTTTATGGTAGCCTCCACACACCGTGCCGCTTTCGCTCCCTTTGACCATTGGAGTTTATAGTAGCCTCCACACGCCATGCCACTTTCGCTCCCTTTGACCATTGGAGTTTATAGTAGCCTCCACACGCCATGCGGCTTTCGCTCCCTTTGACCATCAGATTTTATGGTAGCCTCTACACACCGTGCCGCTTTTGCTTCCTTTGACCATCGAATTTTATGGTACCTTCTGTATAGATTTATGGCCGTTTTATGGCCGTTCAGGGGAGAGACTTTGCGGTTGCCCCGAGGTATCTGGATGTGGTTTTGAGCTGCCAGATGCAGAATTGCCCAGGGTGAGAAGAAGCTTATTTATTTTCCACCGCTGGAGCATTCTGCAGTGACCAGTTTCAACCTGCCCAGTATCCTCCAGGTTTCTCCCAGCACCAGCCTGGAGGGGGTTAATGGTGTCATTTTTTTCCCTTCTAAAACAATTGCACCTGGTGTTTGGAATGCGTGAAATGTTTTCTCTCCCTCTTGGAATGAGTCCCAGATGGACTTAAGTGTTTTGTTAACACTATAAGTTAGAGGGGGGGGGGGACCTCAGCCGGCTGAGGTCGGTGCCAAGCAACTTTCATACCAGGCCGGCGCTGAGCAACC